GCATCTTCTTCAGTCCGAGCCGGTGACCGGCGTCTACTCCCCTCGGCCAATCACCACTCGGCATTCCTGAGAAGTACACCGCTTTTTCCTGCGAATGGATCTTTGCATAAGTAAATCAGTTCACTGCTCGGCAATGCTACAGGATTCAAAGTATCGGGAACAAACAATCAAGATGGATACTTGAGGGGGCGGATTCGTGCAGTTAAAAGGTCTCATCTGCCCTGACACCCGGAAGGAGGCCAATGGAGCGAATAGCTCTGCGGCCCGCTCTACAACCTCGTCTTTTGACAGCGCCTCCGACCTCTCTCGGGTGCCATCGGTGTCTCCCTTAAAGTCAAAGCCCACATGGGCTCTCTCCTTGTAGGGTTGGATGCGGCGTATTATGAAACTCACCGCTACTAGTCCACCGTTGGTCTTCACGCCCTTTATTAGGCCAAGGAGCTCCCTCACTTGCTCCATATCAGCACTGTTTGGCCTCTCCGACCAGCTTTTCTGGCTCTTTGGGATGTGGATGGCGTCGCAGCGGATGGCAGGATGGCTCTGCTTCATGTAGAACCACCTAGCGTTCCACCCTTTCAGCGACATGTTTAGCGGCATAGTAAGGTACTCACCCGCCATTCCATCATGCTGCTGAAGATATACTCCGCCGACCACCTTGGAACCGCTGCCACCCTTCTTCTTTAGCCAGAACAGGTGTCTGAAGAGGTTGAAGTGTGGAAGAATCCCCAAATACGCTTCGCAGAAGTGAATAAAAATTGAGATGTGCAAGATGGTGTTTGGGTGGAGATTGCACAGACTAAGTGCCCAGGACTCCAACAGATCCCTCGAAAAAGGATGAACAGGAAATCCCAATCCTCGCCAGAAATAATCCTCAAACACCACTATTTCATCAGTGTGAGGCATTGGGAAGGGCTCACCACTGGCTGGCCGCCATCTGGCGGTGACGCGGTCAGGAAGAACGTCCGCCTCCACCAATCTTCGTCACGGCTGGCTTCGGCATTCGCCTTCTTTGGGCTCACTTTCTTTGGGTTCACAGCTCCCCTCTTCGGCTCCATCTCTCAGATTTGGATGGGGATTGGCGGCGGAAGCATGCGTGGTTGTGAATCTAGAATTGCGAGGGTTAAGGAAGTAGATGAAAGTGGCAAAGGTGGGAGCGCGGGGTTCGGCGGCGCAGTTATAAAGCACTCCCCCCACCTTTTCGCATTCGGGGTTTTTTGGGAAACCGTTCCCACGATCTGCGCTTCTCTGAATTCTCCGCAACTGAAGGTGGCCGTTACCTGGCCTTCGTGCAACCCCGGCCCATATCACTGATTTATCTCCACAATTTGTTACGGCTCGGCGAATATTCGCTGACATCTCCGCCAACCGTTACGGCTCAGTAATTACTACTGTACAGCCGTTACTCCGGGGTTTTCTCCGTGATTCTATTTTCTCCAAGTTGATTGCTGTTTCTGACACTGGCACCACGTGACCATGTCACCTACTGTTAGGCTCGGGGACTAAGTGGGCACACTTCACCGTGCGGTGAATGTACTTTTTGGGGCTACGCAATCTAACATATTCGCATTTAGCCCATGCACCAGTGTAGTCAGTGTTTGTTTCCTGCCGCACTGGTGTGCAACGAATCCTTCCATGAGGTAGCCCCTTGCCACATTTTTCTGTGTCTTACTCGTATAAACATAGCAAAGGGCAAAACACAATTTGTCAGCTCTTAAGGCTCGCCACACTTGGGGTAAATTAAGGAACCAGCAATCACTGTTAAGCCAAGCACCAGGCATGTGAAGTTGCCAAACATAGCTTTACATTGGTAACAATACACTATGCCAGACTTACCATAAAATGAGGCCACCGCTACTAGCATTGTATGTGCCTTGGTGTGGTTAAACTGCACTCTAACATGCTTGTTTAATAAAAAGTATTTCTTATTTTTGTCGGATAAGAATTTATTTGTTTTGATGTGTTTACCTTTCTTTGACACTGTTTCACTTTTGAAAATAATTTGCAGGAGGTGCTAGTATCTCTTTGTCCTACATAGCTTCTGAAAGGACAATTCCTGGGTAAATATTTCTTTATTGATTTCACAGCTAAGCCATCAGAGCTCATTACTTATGATTGTTTTGGTGATTGCTTTGTAGATATGGTGGTGGTATGAGTTCAGCCAAAGGAGCACTTGAGAGTGAAACAAGAGTACACACTTTTCTGAGATCGCTCATGCCTTGCATTGTGATGTCCAGTAGTGCTTCCCCATGCATATAGTTACAAGCCTTTTTTCTGTTCAGGTTCTTGCTTATGAAGCAGGTCGAAAAGGCAAAATCCGAGGAACACCATATCAGCAGGTAACTATTATTTTCTTCTTTTCCTTTCCCAAGAAAGTAAACAAGTCCACTTCAGGAGATCTTGCTGAACAGAATTTGCATTTGGGAACAGTAAACGAGTCCACTTTGGTTTATAATGGTTTTGCAGGATCTGAAGAACAGCCGTTATACTCAATGTAGTTACAGCTTATGTACTGTTAAAAGTCTTCTATGTTGCTGCTCATCTATTATTACAAATCTTCTAGGCTGCAGCTCCTCGAGCATATGCTTTGTAGATAAGTTGTATCTGAAGTTTGTAAAGAATTTGATGCTAAAATGGATGAAATATGTGTAATGCATAAAGGACTATCTGAAGTTTGTAAAGAATTTGATTGCTGAGATGGATGAAATATGTGTAAGGCATGCTGGAGAATTTTCCTTTTTTGTTTTTATAAATTGTCATTGGTGACGTGTTTAACCAAGACATGTCGCTGATAAGATCCACATCAGTGACGTGTTTTGGCTAGATGCGTTGCTCGCGTCTTGGCGGAACGCGTCGCTGCTGAAAGTCATTAGTGACGCGTCTTGGCGGAACGCGTCGCTGCTGAAAGTCATTAGTGACGCGTCTTGGCGGAACGCGTCGCTGCTGAAAGTCATTAGTGACGCGTTTTTATACGTCACTGATGTGTTCACATCAGAGATGCAATATAAGTGACGTGTTTTTTTCCGCGTCACTAATAACTGTCTAGACACGTCTCTAATGTGAAAATCTGACATAGTGACAAATTTATACTGGTTCACGTACAGGGTGCTCTACGTCCAGTGGAGAATAGCTCTTTATCTCGTATGCTTGGTGTTTATAGGGGCGCTGATAGCTATGAGTCTAATTGCTAGGGTTGCAATCAGGTATGAGCAGATACCGATCGAGGCCTCCCTACCTCACCTTATATAGTCCGGGAGGTAGGGTTATCGTTCGAGTCCCGATCGGTTTACAGTAAGGTTTCCTTGTCGTTTACAAGGAAATCTATTGTGTAGAATCTATTATCTTAGGCATATCTTGATCTCCAAGCTTCCCTTCGGTTGGTTGTTTGTCCACCAAGGCCGATGATGTGCCCTGTCTCGGTTGGGCCTCGTATTAACGTCCTCAGCCCACCCTGCTTTTAGTGGGCTCATATGTGGGCGGTGAGGTACCCTGGGTCTATATCACTGATATGACTTGTTGAATACGTTAAGTACTACTAATGGTGAAGATGAAGATCAGGTTATTCGAACCCTAACTTGCATGTGGGCTAGGTACCTATGCCGTGCCTTGATGTCATGTTAACGGCCTTTTGTTGCCTCTATGAAACAAGGGTGTATAACACCAGGTAAATTCTCTTTCATATAAATTCCTGTATAACTATGACAAATGGTGTGCACTAGAGCATTCAGTGAAGCTGAGTAACCATGAGTGTGTTTGAATTTCATTTCAACTCAACGGACAGTCTGGTGTTCGATATGAAGCATTCAGTGAGTACAGGTCAACTGAGTTCAAGTCATTCAAACCTCTTTAGACTTTTTGCTCTGGTCGAAGCATCCGGTTTTGCACCTGAGCATCTCTTGATCGTTGGCTGCCAACTCAATACCACGGAGGGTTTGCCCGGTGAGGCATCCGGAGAGAACAAGGGAGCATCCGGTAAGCAGAGTTGCTTCTGAGTTTTGTTTTGGGTGATCTGGGAAAAATAAATCTTGTGACATCATCCAGTGGTGCTCCGTAGCATCCGCTATTATTGTTTAGGCTTTGCTCTTGCTGAGTCTCTGCTTTCACCAGAGCTTCCGGTGCTCAGATCAAGCATCCGGCCGGTGGAATGGCGAGCACAGTGTGAGCCCGTTTTCTTTAGGTTATTTGTAGTGTTCGTTCTGCTTTGTTTCCATGCTTTCCTAACATCTTGTTTCTAGGGTCCATAGGTCCTTTGTGACAATGTGACCTTGACGAAAGCTAGAAGAGATACTTGCAAACAATTTCGGGATATAGGCTGCCTTAGGTTGGGTGGTCACCATTCAGTCCGGTCCTTCACGGTGGTTCCTTGATGTTGGGCACTTGTTCTTGCTTCCTTGAGGTCTTGTTTGGATGTCCATGTATTTACCTAAACCCACTTGTGTTGAAGTGGATTTGAGTGAAAATTAAACTAAAATCCATTCCAATCCATTCCAACACAAGAGGATTAAGGTAGATACATGTGCATTCCAATCCACTCCAACACAAGAGGATTGAGGTAGATACATGTGCATCCAAACAAGACCTGATGTAGAGTGTATGCATTTATAGTCCAAAAACACATCCATACAGTAGAGTTCGTAACACATGGCACCGTACAACAGAGTTGACTGACGCATACATATGGTCTTTTATTAATAAAAAAGAAAATAAAAGTTACATTACAGCTTAGTCCGGAACTGATCAGGACTAGTAATTAGAGAATAACAGTAGTGAACATACGGGAGATCAAATGACCAATATAATGGCAATGAGGAGGACAGTACGTAAGCACAAATATTATTCTCAGGATTGGAGGGAGCTAGTCGGAGGCGCTGGTGCCACGGCCTCTCGCTTATTAAATTTATTTATTTAATTATATGGTATGTCTGAGTCTTCATCGACAGACAGAACGCCACTCACGCTGGGTTCCGGGGCTTCTGGTGGCTGCCAGTTGCCTCATCATGCGCCTACTTGTCCGGCCCATGGCCATGCGTCTTCTCCACGGATGCGAGGAAGCTGCGCCATTGCTTGATCGCGTCATCGGCAGCCTGCATCCAAGACAAACCCAGAATAATGGGACCTTAATGAAATCAGATCCATAGATGTTGGTGCGTATAGCCATACTACAGCAACCATGTACATACGTACCAGGTATATGTCATGCTGCCTCGCTCGGTTGATGTCCCCACGTAGGACGGCGGTGATGTCGCGGGACTCATGGCCTTCTTCCTGGTGCGATGGCGGTTGGTTAGTGCGCGGCAAGTCATGGTCCAGCTTGCACCAGAGGTCGAATCGTTTGTTGACCCCGTCCAGAAGCTCGGCGGCGCGCTTGCAGACAATTGACGTCCCCGCATCTTGGGCGGATGCTTCCTTGGCCAGCTGCCTATGGGCCTCCTGCACCATTGCGTCCATCGCTGGCGTGCGGAATTGGCCGGTTGCAACCATGTGAGCTCCTGGCAAGCCTGTAGTTGTCGCGCGCTGCATCTGATAGCTCGATAGCCATGAGTAGATGCATCCAACACCCAAGCCCTGCTTCAGGATACCCACCATGGCGTTGATGTCCTTGTCGATGCCTCCCAGGTCAAGGAAGTTCCTCGGGGCTTCTTTCCAGGATTCATCGGACTGCTTGAACTCCTTCCACTTCCTCTCCAGCAAGCTCGCTGCGATGGCCTGCAAGACCGGGTCATCTCCTTCCTTCCCATGGACAGCACCTGCAGCCTCCTCCTTCAAGACCTGGAATTCCTTCAGAACGCTTATAAGAAAGTCTAGCACCTTGAACCGGACCATCTGCTGCAGGACCAAGGGGTAGGGTGGGCAGGGATTTGCAGGAGCAGTTGCAGTATCGGTCACGTGAACTGGGAGTGACACTGAGCAAGAGTCAGTGGCGGTCGACTGCCTGCCCGGCGCTTCCTTGTACGTGACACTAGCAGCAATCCCATTCAAAGTTGTATTGTAACCCTGCGACCAAATCCCGGTACGATAAGAAAAGTAGACAATGAAGTCCTTCACCTCCCTAGCATAGAGCGTGCCAACCAAGATGCCTCCGGAACTCCCCGGAGTATGTAACCCCAGAGTCGATCCTTGTTATCAGCAAACCGCCTGGCCGGATGTCAACGCAGGCGTCGACAGCTACTACGGTCTTGAACCCAGCTAAGCAGATGGCGAGTGCCTCTATGATCTTGCTGTTGAGGTTGTCGGTGATGGAGGAATAGATTCCGTAGGATATGTTAGAAATGTAGTGCAGTGCCTTTGGGTCGTGAGCCTTGCCCAAACCGAAGGTGTGGACTGGGTACTTTCGGAGGAGGCCTCGGATGGGATCCGTGGGGGCGATACTATCATCGCCCCATTTGAACTGGCTGTCTAGACCATCCGAAATTAGAACGATGAAGCCTGCACGCTTCTTATCCGCTCGGTCGTCCAGGAGCTGTAATATTTGGTACATATAAATTAAAACAATAAAAAGGTGAAATCCAAATTTAATCAAAGTTTTTACGAAGAAAAGGAGACCAACTCAGCCACAGTTGAAATTATACGTGAAATTTGACATAAAGATTGAATACAATACTTCATCCGATGACAGATGTAGGTCCATCTAGGTTTGTACCAACTCAAACTACTCTAGCTAATTTTGTCTTGCAGCATCCATAAAAATATTTTATATTCAGTGAAAGGAGTTATATATTATAAAAGTTGTTTTCACAATGAATTTAGTAATGTCAACCCTGTATTGACAATCTAGGTAAAATTTTAGATGTGGATGGTAAAAGCTAAAAAGGTTTGGCTGAGGACAAACCTAGAAGAAACTAATCTAGGTATAACTATTTTATAAGTAGCTTCTTCATGGACTAAGTATAAATATTTTAAGAATTTTTAATACCTCACTACAAATTCATGGAATAAACACTCGTTTTTGCTGCTTCATGGCAGACTAAATTAATCTTTGCTTATATGATCATTGCATCATGTAATTACTGCCTTTAGAGTTTGATCTTTTGTCTGACCTCTATGGCTCTATACCATCATCTGATTGTGTTATTATTACCATTAGAGTTGGCACCAGTTAACCACTTCATATACCATCATCTGATTGTGTTATTGTTGGGATGAAGCAAACAATCAGAGGTTGTTGCTTCCTGCGCTTCTCTATCTCGCACCCTCACTCTCGGCTCGTGACCACGGCGCTGCCCAAGTGCCGAGGCTTCCAGCCCCGACCAGCCATCATCCACTACTACACGCTAAGATCCACCGGACCTATCAACCTTATATCAGAGATTCTAGGATCTAATGACGGCGATGGTGCTGTAGCATCAGCCAACTCCCAGGCCATGGACGCCCTCACCAAGCTCATGCAGAATCTTCAGCGCCAGAAGCGTGATGTTGATGTGCAGATGTCCCTATCTGGCCATCTAACTAAGGTGGAGAAGCGGCCTGCTGAAGTGCCGCGATTTCCCTACAGCATGCCCTGGTACAGCGTCGCCGGCACGTCCACTCTTCCGCCGCCCATCGCCAGCATTCCTCCACTCATCATTGCACCATCTCCGCCACCCACCACCACGACCTCTGCTCCCCTGCCTACAACCTCCTCCATCCCCATCCACCACATCTAGTTTCCTCACTCGCCTTCAACTGGTCGGAAATGCGTTCCGACAAGGCTTCTACTGGACAACCGCAGTAACTGACGCTGAACAGGTTGTGCGCACCTATGAAGGGTGTCAATACTATGCTCCGTAGACCCACTTGCCGGCCCAAGCGCTCCAAACGATTCCCATCACGTGGCCATTCGTGGTCTGGGGGCTCGATATGGTCGGGCCTCTCAAAAGAGCGTCCGGGGGCTATATGCACTTTCTTGTCGCCGTAGATAAGTTTACAAAGTGGATAGAGGCTCGCCCGATCTCCATGATAAGGTCCGAGCAAGCTGTGCTGTTTTTCCTTGACATCGTGCACCGCTTTGGAGTCCCGAACTCCATCATCACGGACAACGGCATGCGGTTCACTAGGAAAAAGTTCCTCCAATTCTATGATGAATTCCACATCCGCGTCGATTGGGCCACCGTGGTGCACGCCCGCACGAACGGGCAGGTTGAGCGCGCAAACGGCAAGGTCCTACAAGGCCTCAAGCCTAGGATCTTCAACCAGTTGAACAAGTTTGGCGGACGATGGGTTGCGGAGCTCCCCTCTATGCTCTAGAGCCTAAGAACGACCCCTAGCCGGGTCACCTGCTACACACCCTTCTTCATGGTCTATGGTTTTGAGGCCATCCTCCCGATCGACCTTGACTACGGAGCATTGAGGGTCAACGCGTACGCGAGCAGGGAGCCGAGGCGTCCCTTGAGGACGCAATGGATCAGCTCGACAAGGCACGTGATGGTGCCCTCCTCTGCTCGGCTAAGTACTAGCAGTCATTGCACGGTACCACAGTTGTCGGGTGCGGGGTCGGGCCTTCAACGTCGAGGACCTGGTGCCCCGCCTCGTCCAGAGCAACAAGAACCGCCATAAGCTCTCTCCACCATGGGAGGGACCGTACGTCATCATGGAGGTGCTCCGACCAGGCACCTATAAGCTCAAGACCATCGACGGTGAAGTCTTCGTCAATGCATGGAACATCGAACAACTATATTGCTTTTACCCCTAATCCATGCATGTACCTACAAAAAGTAAGAATGTTGTTTCTGCGATGAAAAACGATTTCTCTTATTGATTTCGCTACCGCCTCCTCGACCTTTAGTGACACCCGACCCCAGCTACGGTAGGGGGTCGGGCCTCACTCAGGGGCTGATAAGAGTATATATATATATATACCTATTCAGAAATAACCACTTTGCCCGACCCTTTCTCACGTTAAGAATCTAGAGCAGGGTTTGCGGAAACAAACGTTGAGTAAAACTGGTCGGACTGCAAGAAACCTACGCCCCAGCGGCTACGACACTCTTGCTCACTAGCGTGATCAGAGTTTTTTGCCTGCACCTCGAGCTCTACAGTCTTAACAATAGAAAGGGTTGGAATGCATTAACCTTTTTTACACATAAAAAGGGAGAAAGAATAAGTTTGTTTTAACGAAACGAAAGGACTAAGAACTTGTCTGCTTATTACAAATGCGCTGCCTGACTTATCTAACTAACTAACCCCTCAATGGGATGATTTCATCTTCTATCTTGGCAGAAAGGTCATGCGCCAGGGGAGCCACAGCCTCCTCGATGTCGTCCAGCTCGGCGTCGGTGTAGATGGGCACGAAGCCTTGGCTCATCGTCGCCAGATTGATGTTCTCGTAATGAGAATGGGCGATCGCGAACGATCGGTGAGTGCCAAAGCGAAGTGCGTCCCTTGCCATATCACACGCCCGATCCATGATCCATGTGGCACGAACCGCGAATGAGCTTGTCTCCTACTCCGGGGCTAGCTAGAGCTCATCGCAGACCAACTAGACAGTGACGCGCAAGTTGTCGTGTTCATCGCTATCCTTCTAGAGGATGTCCTTCACCTCACTGAGCTCCTTCTCCAGGCCGCGTCACGTCACCTCCCTCCGAAGATCGTGTGCATGCTATCTCTGGCCGCACCCTCGAAGGACATGTCGAATGACGGTTCGCCCAGTCGATGGCCCAAGAACCATCATAGGTAAGTAGGGATACGAAGCTAAAAACACTCCCACGGCCCATTCAGGCCTAGAAGTTCAAAGGTTGGCCCACTTGAAAGCTCTAGTTTGGTTTTGGTAAATTGATGAAACCCTAAGTGATAACCTAGTTTATCAAAGTGATTATGAGATAGGTAGCACTACTCCAAGTGGTGAAGCAAATGAAGATCATGACATGATGATGGCAATTCCATGATGATGATCAAGTGCTTGGACTTAGAAAAGAAGAAAGAAAAACAAAAGGCTCAAGGCAAAGGTATAAGTGGTACGAGCCATTTTGTTTCGGTGATCAAGACACTTAGTGAGTGTGATCACATTTAGGTTCGATAGCCGTACTATTAAGAGGGGTGAAACTCGTATCGAAATGCGGTTATCAAAGTGCCACTAAATGCATTAACTCATTGCATATGCATTTTGGATCTAGTGGAGTGCTAACACCCTTGAAAATATTTATGAAAATATGCTAACACACATGCCCAAAGGTGATACACATTGTGTTTAGCACTTGGGAGCAAGGGTAAGAAACTTCACCGGCGGAGTGTCCACCCATAGAGTTGTGTCCAGTGAAGGGGTACAATAACTCTATTTCGTGGGGGCTTCTATTTAAGCCCCATGACCAGCTCTAGCTCACTCTCTTGGCCATTTGCATTGACAAAGCAACCTTGTGAGCTTAGCCAAAGCCCTCTCACTCATCTCCATCATTGATTCATCATCTTTATGAGATTGGGAGAGAATCCAAATGTATTGCTTAAGTGTTTGCATCTAGAGGCACTTGGTGTTTGTGTTTCGCTGCGGGATTCGCTTGTTACTCTTGGTGGTTGCTGCCACCTAGATGACTTGGAGCAGCGAGGATCATCAAGCAGAGGTTGGTGATTGTCTCCGGCTCCGATCGTTGTGATTGTGAGGGGTTCTTGACCTTTCCCCGGTGGAGAGCCAAAAGGTACTCTAGTGAATTGCTCGTGGATTGTGTGATTCTCATCTTGTGTTGGTTGTACGACACCCTATTGAGGGTTTGACTTGTGATGCCAATTAGCTCGTGAACCTCCAATTTTGTGAATCGCCACAACGAGGAGTACCTTGCCGGCAAGCAAGTGAACCTCGGTAAAAAAATCATTGTGTTCATCATTTAATTCCGAGGTGATTGATATTCATTGGTATTCATTATTGTGATTGATTGGTTCATTCCTTGACTCAACGGTATAACTATCTTGCTCTCTCTTTACATTACCGCAAACTAGTTGTCAAGCTCTTTAGTGTAGTTAGTCGTGAGAGCTTATTAGTTTGGTTAGTGTGGCTCTTTAGTTAGCTTTTGAGAACACACTAACTTAGTGTAGTGACATAGCCATTGTGTGGATAGAGACTATAGAAACTAGAATTGTGGTAGGTGGCTTGTATTTTTAGTATGCTAGCGCAACACTCGCTTCGCCTCATATTTGTCTAACCGGTTTGTTAAGTGTTGTTGTAGAAATTTTTAATAGGCTATTCACCCCCCTCTAGCCATTAGGACCTTTCACCACTGACGGGTTCACAACCGCTCTAGGGCACCATTGGTGTGAGGGGTGGAAAGGGATGGGCCCACTAGCGGCTAGTACCCGGGCGCACGAGCGCCACAGGCATCCCGGCCTATGTTCTAGTCTCGGTCGGTTTACAATCCATGGTTTTTCCTTGAAGAAAGGCAGAGAGCCCTTAGGACTGGTCGAATGGACACGAGAACTATATGGATTGGCTGTTGAGAATATGGAGTCGATCACCAGCTGACCCAAACCGGACCCCCATGAATGGGAAGCCAGGGCCCCACTCAGACTAGCCCGTTAACAGCTCACGAGCACCATGTTTCATCCATCGAGGAAAAACATGGCATGGCTCAGCCCCTCCGTTTTATCAAAAAAATGTTTGAGCAATGACAATCACAAAGACAAGCTGACCCCTCCATCGGACCCCTGCATCGCGCGGGGGCTCAAGGGAAGTTGGACTCGCAAGGAGACCGAATACGTGGTCGTAGGACGATGGCTCGGATCCTAGGAAGGTGTCAAAATCAAGAGAAATATTTTCCGACCCCCCGAATCCTACTGTAACATGCCCCCAAGAAATATGATCACAACAAAAGGGAATCGCCGTTCTACCAGGACATGCCGCGGGCTACAAAAGAAGGCCAAGGACCTTAGAGTCCTCGCGTCCGGAAATGCCTCCAAAGGAGTATTCTACTCCTCTGTAGGCTGGGGGGCTACTGTCGGGCATCAACATTAGGGATACGCAAAGCAATGATGTTAGCGCCCATGTTAACTTCCCCAGATGGCTCGAGACATATCAAAAGGTCTCACCCGACCTCAAGGCCACGGGCTCCGTTTTGCCCGACCCCTTGGGTGCGGGCTCCGTCTCACCCGACCTCGAGGCCGCAGGCTCCGTCTCGCCTGACCATGAGGCCGCGGGCTCCGTCTCGCCCGACCCCAAGGCCATAGGCTCCGTCTCTCCCAACCCCTTGGGTGCGGGCTCCGTCTCGCCTGACCTCGAGGCCCGCGGGCTCCGTCTCGTCCGACCTCGAGGGCGCGGGCTCCGTCTCGCCTGACCCCTTAGGCAAAGGGCCCATGCCGCCCGACCCCATGGGTGCCGTTTTTGCCTCGCCTGACGGGGACCCATACTGCCGCCAACCACTCTAGGTCCAAGCGTATGTGCCTAGGTCAAAACTCTGACACCAGGGAAGAAGCAGGCACGCCTCAATGTAACCCATAGCCATGATGGGCCATACCTGGGGGTTCACGTCAAGAACAGTGCCGGGCGTGCTGGTGCTGTTCTGCCTAATCCTCATACGGATGCTGACAGGCGCGTCAATTCACCAGGCCATCCGCCGGGACGGAGTGGAATGCCATGACCGGCAGATGACGTCTACGCATGGCTCCAGTGATGAATAGGGCCGCGACGTGGAGCTGTCCCTATTGACATCTACAGGATCGACGGGACCCGTATGAAGGAGAAGAAGGACCCAGCAACCCTGGAAGCCTTCTTCTCCCTCTTGCTTTTCTCCTTTTCCTCCTCTATAACCTACGCTTTCCCTTGCCCAATAAAAGGGGAAGCGGTGCACCCCAGCACAACACGAACATACGAGCACATGGCTGAGCACCAAGCGAGCTCCAGCTCCCAATTCACTCCTTCCACCAGAGACTTCGGACCCTCTCCCTCTCTCGCCTGTTTGTAACCCCTAATGCAAACCTAGTGCCGGTAACACGAGCAGCAGCAAACTGGACGTAGGGACGTTCCGCCTGAACCAGTATAAACCCTTGTGTACTCCGAGCAAACCATCCGAGCCAGACGTGCAAATACAAATTTACTCGTCGGTGGTCCAAAACACCGACACCTCTCTACCGCACCGGTGCTACAGCTACCCGCGTTTGACCATGCCTTCATCGTCGACTGCGATGTGTCAAGCACTGCCTTTGATGCGGTCCTTCATCAAGATACGGGACACCAGGCGTTCTTCAGCTAGCCATTTGCGGTGCGCCTTCACAAACTCGTCGCAGATGAGCATGAGCTAATGTGCCCTACTTCTAATACTGTCACTAGTACGCAATGATGTTTAATCATGTTAAACCATAACATTTAGAGCATCGCTCTCATCCATTCATGGCATGTTCAATTAACCATGCATCATTCGCAAATGAGAAGCCAAATAAAGTGAAAGTTTCGACCCAAATATATGGTCTAAGCATGGTGGACTACATCGCCATGATATTCGTCCCAATGTGGCTTGTTGAAGCAGTGACCGAGCCACACTACCTCTTTGCAAGGGGCACTTCAATGGATATGGCTATCCAAGTGGTGGCTTACATGGCCATGGCACTTCTCCAAGCCAGGTGGGGGTGTTGGAGATGTGGCCTTTCCACCACTTTCCTAAGCAAAGTGTGCAACAAGATGTGATTGAGTTTGAGATTGTTCTGACAGACCTCAACTCGTATGAAAGGTGCATGGTGGAGTTGGTTGTGTCTCTAGATCAAATGATCCATTACCTCACCCACTTGCTCGAAGATACTCAACATCGCTTCAACAATCTGCAGCACTCGCTTGAGCCATACCTATGGATGGACCAGGTGGCCTTGGCCAAGCTATCAAGAGAAGTAGTAGGAGCAGATGTGACCACACATGACCTGATCTGGAAAAACAGACGATTGCGGTCACATGCAGTCCCTAATGCAGTGACTATAATAGATCCACTTCTAGGACTGTGTAAGGTAATGACGCTGCTAATGAACTCCTGACGCCCAGAGCTTTGATAACAGTGCATACAATGAGATTGAAAAGCAAATATGACATCGTATAAGGGTTCAGGAGGCAGGTGCCCACCGAGCACCAACCAAAGAACACCAAAATTAAAATAGCCATTGAGAAGAGTATGAAGCAATGCACCACCTTGCCAATGATCTCATTGACCTGTTGTGGACTACCAAACGAACCTTCTGGCACTTTGTGTGCTTAAGTGCTCAAGTGCTGCTCGAGTAGTAAGGGTGCAATCAGGTAAGAAAACTTCTTATTGCTATATGGTTTACTGCAACCAGGATTAATTTCATGTATGCAACAAATGACTTATTTATTGCTGTTTTGTTCAAAACTTATCTACAGTCACCAGATGCGTGCATGTTGAATTGAGCAGTTGAGGGCCTATGCAACGTTGGTGTCTAGAGAAGAATTTATACTTTGCACCTCTCACCGTTAACACTTAACTTCAATAATCTTTTAAAATGCATTAATTATTTAGAATTAAAGGAGATCAAATAGAAAACATGGATATGGATTTAACTAAATAGGATGATATTTGAGAAACAGAAAGCAAGTTAAATGAAAAAGAGATAGCTAGCCCAGCAGTTTGCAAGGGCGACTTGCTAGTTAACACTTCCACGTTAAAGTACAGCCAGGGTGCTATGTGTCGCCATGCGTATGTGGACCGTCTTGGTGGGTTGGGCCTTAAATGATTTTGGAATGCAGGATGTTGCAATTGTATTACATCAATTATTGTATTGTCTTTTTTTTATTTACCGTAAGCTCCACAAGTGTTTGAGAAGTGGTAGTTTATGAACTAGTATTTAATTCTTATCATAAACCTAAATAAATTCATATTGAGAATCGAATAGAGTAGCTAAGTTCAGCACATACCTTCACAGCATGCTCCAAGCTTGGTTTAAAAGCAGTGTCACCCTTAGCCACAAGCCCATCCACCTTTTTCTCGATAGCCATCCGACCAATGTCGGATATTTCTAAAATGCCAGTGGTATACTCTTTGATGACCTGATCGTTGAATGCTACAATGGCTAGGCGGTCGTCATCACCAAGCTGCCTTATTATGAACTTCATGGCATTTTTCAGCAGATCCAACCTAGATGACATCTCTGTTTGCGATGCTGCTGGCCAGCTCATGCTTTGGTTAATATTGATAAGTGTGACTAGGTCAATGGGGTCATGGTTCTTCATAGATGAGGGTGCTTCAACGCCAGCACCACTGCTGCCCCATTTAATGTTAATGCGCGTGAGTAGTCTATCAGAAGTATAGGGGGGCTCATGGAAATGCTTACTCTGACTTTCTCCGGGGTCATCTTGACCTGCATTCACAATTTAGAATTAGAGAAGCATCTGAATTTCACTACCACTACCTTCTGTAAAGTAAACAAGTGATGTGTGCAACCACATATTTTAAACATAGCATACATATATATTTTTTGAGCGATAACCATATATAAGGGAGGATCTGAGGACAACATATTAAATAAATAAATACATAAAGAACAAGGCAGTTTATATTCTAGCATTAAAGAAAGAATGAGAGAAATTTACTAACAGAGTCCAGCCACGTGGAAAAATGCTGCTTCAACTCTCCCGTCACCATTTATATTGGATGGACAAAAAAATGCTGATTCAACTCTCCGGTCACCATTTATATTGGATGGACAAAGGTGATGTGTGTAGACTTAAATTGAAAATACTTTCATAATGTTAAAATTTCAATCCATTAGAAAATGTAGCTCAACAGAATTTTGTGGCCAAATTGGTGTCTCGGAGATTGTAGCAAGAACCAAATATCTCACACTGTTGTCCACTAGTCCACCGACCCATGCTGTTGCATGGGCACTTAGAGAGAGATGTGTGTTAAAAATTTGTGGATAAGTTTTAGGCTCATAACTACCCAAAATTGCTTATCTTTGGTCTCTCTTATTTGCTCATATTCTAAAACAATACTTATGCAAATACTTTCTTATTTTTATATGGATGTGATGGAGTTTAGTTTACCAGTTGCTATATACACTTTTTCAATTCAAATTCATAGTTGTTCCCTTAGCATTGCATATCCATGCGTGTTTGACATGTATTTAGTTAAATTCCCACTCAAGTGTTCATATTCTAACACAACAATCATATAGGAACTTTCTTATTTTTATCCAGATGAGATAAACTTTAGCTACCAATTAATTTATATACCTTTTCATCCTTGTTCATATTTTATGCCTTTTCACCATGCCTCTATGTGTGTTTGACATGTATTTAGTTAAATTATTAGATTCAGCTATGTACTTGGCATGGAAATCTCTATGCTTATCGCTTCTTGCATATATGTATACATGGTCTGTATGGTAATGCACATATACTAACAGTGGAAGAAGTGAGTAATTCAGAAGCATATACAAAGTACTTTGTGATATTTTTTGCCTTGTTAGACATAGGTCATTTAGATCAGATTTTTAGGTTAGTTTATTTGCATTATTTTGAAAAACCTGCGAAGGTGGATAATTTAGATGCAAATTTAGGGGTAATAAGTGAAGATTAGGGGATTACTTTAGGTTGTTTCTAATAATGGCAGTAGTGAGTAATTTAGAACAAACTTTAGGAGGTTAATTTAGACTATGTTCGTAATGACAGCAGTAGATAATTTTTTAAAAAAAAATAGAATAGATCCAATGGCTTGTATTATCAATAATGACTACAGTCTATGAACTGAAGGCTGGGTGTGTTTTTTATTTTTGAGAACTTCTTAGCTTATCTCATGAGGATTAATGTGGAGTTTCACAGGAAGTCTCCAATTAATAATAGTAAGGAAAGTAACTAATTGATTACATACTATAAACAACGAGTAGTGCTAGCTGTATTGGCTGACAGTTTCAACATACAAATGAATAAGGTACATTTTACAAAAAAATTAATCAAGTAAATAATTTTTGGTTTCAGAAAATCTGAATTGTTTGTTAGGTCTGAATAGCTAGAAAACCACAGCGATTTCTTCATTAAATTAAAGATGAGGGAAGAGGGAAGAACAGGATTCTAACGGTTCTACAAAATGGACCGGTTATAGAGACAAAGTAGTACTATCTTTAGTCCAAAATAGATTTTGTCGTAGTAGAATGTCTGCAATCAAAATTTTAAAAACTTAGTCATTATTAAACATTTAACCACTATTGTCCATCAAAAAGTACTTTTGTTGTATGAGATGGGCTGGAAGTTTCAACATTAAAGGTATTGTATAATAATAATTTTATTGTTTTTAATACATTTAAAAAATTGTAATTCAACCAGCGGATATAATAACAATACTTTCATTGTGGAAGAAATGGGAGACCTCTTGAATAATGGTGGAAAATGGGTAACAGTAATCCAAACTATCAGGTACCTGTATCCGCATTACTTTCTAAAATATATACTAAAATGGACGTATCTCAATTAATTTTTAATTGTTTTTAGTATCTAATTCGGATCTATATCTGTTATAAATGTGGATATGGATATATATAAAACAGTCTGTATTGTGAAGAATAAATTACTTGTTGAGACTATGCTCTGGTCTCTAGACTTGACTTTAATCTCTTGAATGTGGATCCAGGTGGCAGGACCACTATTTTTGAAACTATCTAAAAATAACCCGCATTCAACTTAAAAGTTTAAACTTTTTGATGACCAATGATATTGATTTTAATATGACCAATAATATATAAATATTAATTTATTATGACTAATTATATTAATTTTAGTGTTACTAATGATATTAATTTTAATTAATATGTCTAATGATATATAATTTAACTATACAATGGCCCATATTCAAGTTGTAAAAGTTGAAAAACATTTAAAAGTTGTATATATATGACTAATGACAACAATTTATGCGGGCCTGTTCTACATGCTCCATGTGAGTAGGTGAGCCGTAAGCAGATTTTGGACATAGCAAGGGATTACAGATGGTATTCAGAGTATCGACCCTCACTGCATGTGCATGTGTTGTAATCTACATTGCCTGAGGAGGGTTACAATGCACACACTCTTACATTGCCCGTGCAGGGTAAGAGTAGCACAACCATGTACCGAGGGGTGATTTTGTTATTGTAGTTGGTGAGTTTAGTACCACCTTAGATGTTTAGGAGTGTGAGAGCCAGCTTATAACTCTTGTTGTTCCAAACCTAGCACCTCTAGGTTAACTCTTTTACACGAAGCGAGAATGAAAGTGTAAGAGAGGTACTATGCATTTGCAGGCTCATTTCACATGAGGAGATAAGCAGATTTTTAACGCAGGGTGTTACGTTAGATCAATTATTCAAATTGTATATACAGAATAGGATTGTAGGTTTTATTGCTTTGGTTATGGAATTCATTATCTGCAACATTACTTTAGATATATATTTTTCACTCACTGTACCATTTGCTTTGTCAGCCTTTATCATGATGTCCCATATTATCTATTTACCAAATTAATATTCTCTCACGTCTTTTTTTGAGGCAATATCCCTCCGCTTAGTTTCTGAGAGCATATATATATACCGCTTAGTTTCTGAGAGCATATATATATATATATTTGGCTGGCCGGTTTGGTTTATTACGTCAACTAGCCTAGCTGCATGTCTTGCGAATGAATGTTCGCCGCACTTTAGAAGGTGCACACAGTTATATCAACGCCACTAATGTAACACTATAACCCTCATAAATCTCGACATGCGCATGCCCTTTAATCCCTCTCCTAGCTTTCCAAGCGTTTTTTACTTGGCGATATTCATGCGCACAGGGGATATGCATATAGAGCCTGACTACTAACAGAGCCAACTACTAGCTCCATCTTATTGTCATATGGTCTCCAGCCAATTTAATAGCTCACCCGTATAACAGTTAGCTATAGATACATATTACACCACTAAAACCTATCACACCTCTGTCCTCTCATTCTCGCACCATGGTTGTTGAAGCCCGTGCTGCAGCTAGCTATAGATCTGCAACCCGCTTCCTCTTCTTTTTCCTCTAACACAGCACAAATCTGATGTGCTAATTTCTATAGCTCGCTTACACTACCTTACTATACTTGCTCATTCGCATACAGCAGCAAGTAACTGCCTACGTTACTCCATGCAAGGAAGCCAAGCGCTGAAGTAAAAGCGTTACTGCACGCAAGGAATCAAGCGCTGAAGTAAAATCAACAAAAAGGGAAATGTTAACGTCCACTGACAGGACGTTGTTGTGCCCAATTGTGTGCACCCCAGCACTCTAAGATATACGGTATTTTTTTTCCTTTCAAGGAAAATAGAACAAATCACAGGAAAATAAAACAACAATCAAATCCTGATGCCATCTTTGTGCATCTCTATCCACAACCACGTCTCCGGTCAGCTATCACAGATCACAAATGAAGAGGGGTTAGTCAAAGAACTTAGGTTATGCTTTACTTGACAAAGAATAGAAGGCGAGTACCCTATTTTTTCTGCTCATCAAACTTATTGAATAGAATCAAATAGAAAGACCATCAAAGCTTCTGAATTTTAGAATGAATCTAAGGTATTCGATTTTATTAGGTTTTATTTACTGCCAAGAAGACTGAAAAGAGGTATGATTATTTATTGCATAAGCAAATAAAATTTTCTTTGTATGATAATCTTTTATAATACATGTTTTATATTATAGAACTAAAACATACGAATTGTCAACATCTACCCGATAGGACCAAAACACTTATGCGATCCATGACTATCTCTACAACTAAAACATACGGCTTGTCAACATCTACCTGGCAGGACCAAAATATTCATGCGATCCATTGACTATCCGGCATAAAAAACATCTCAATCAATTTATGTTGCACCCGTTGCAAAGCACGGGCACTCATCTAGTTTTTAGAAAAAGATGGCTATTGTGAATGGATTTATTAATATTTATTTCTTGGGTCCCACCGTTTTACTGCCCCTTGCCTGGCGGTCTGCACCTGAATTAGGATACAGTAGAAATATATCATGCGGTGGTGACACCAACCCGCACTTCCTGGCTCGTATGAATAAATATAAATATAAGCATACGCTACAAAGGCATATTATATATTTATCGATGTAGCGCCATCCCAATTGCACATGAATTTGGAATTAAGGAAATTCATAAATCAATAATATGTACCTGCTTTCAGAATATGGCAGTTAACAGCGACAGGGGGAGATGATCCGATCACCTTGATTGGCTCAAGAAGACTGAAAATCAACGGAGGGAACCAAGGGTCTTTGGATCTTATCTGAAGCACAGCTCTGGTGGAGTTTCTTGTTTTGAGGACCTGGAATTAATTTGATGCGGTAGTATCGGGTAGTGAGGAGGAAGCAAGAAGTAACAATTAGATCGACAAGTTAAGCAGTGAAGGAGTTTGTCCCTTGCATCAGCCTTATATATATGCAACCCGAAGC